TATTTCCTATCTGGTACTTTACAGATGAAGTTTGCCAATCCCTTATTTAGAACAATGGTTAAAAGCATATGTTCTGAAGTTAGACAGAGTTGAGTTTAAATTAGCTAAGTATTTTGTGAAGATGAAATAAGATTAACTACTTAAGTATTTAACACTATCAGATTAGGGTAATAACTCAAGTAATAGTAACTACATCAAGAAAACAAAGATTCTCACCACTGGGCCAATTGGCAGCACCACGATAGATGGAGAAGAGATGGAGGTTGTTAACAATTTCAGCTTGCTCAGCTCAACTCTTTGCATCAACAATCAGGAACTCCAAAGACAAATTACACTGGGAAAATCTGCTCTCATGGACCCCTCCAGAGTAATAGGAAGCAATATTAGTCTAGAGACTAAGGTCTAGTCCAGGCCATGGTCTTAGCAATTAATTACTTGCTATGCATCAGAGCTGGACAATGCCTAAGAAAAACAGAAGAAGAATTGATACCTTCAAGTTGTGGTGCTGGAGAAGAGTCTTGAACATACAATGGACTGCCAAAAAAACCCAAACAGGTCTATTTTGGCAAGGGTGAAACCAAGTTTTCCTTGGAAGCTAGGATTTTGAAACTCCATCTCTCATACATTGGGCATGTGTCAAGGAGGGAACAGTCCTTGGAAAAGGAGATTAGGCTTGGAGGGGTGGAGGGACAGCAAAAGAGAAGACGACTCTGGATGAGATGGATTGATACAGTAACTGGGACCATGGGGGTAGGTGTGTCAGAGTCAGTGAAACTGGCTGAGGATAAAGCAGGCTTTAGAGCTGTTGTATATAGGGTTACTATGAATGGCAGGCAACTGTATGGCACATAACAACAACAACATATGTATATACGTATAGTTTTAAATTCTCATACACAGCCTAATACAGAAGCATGATAGCATTCATTTTTATTTTCCCAGAAGATCTTGAAATTATGTTACTCCAATACTCATATACTGTCTGTGAATAAAGAAGGATTCTCAACTAACTCTCACTTTTTCAGCACTCTTACATCTCTAGGCATGGAGATGTAAAAGGGTATTAATATCAATGTCTTTTCTTCTCCCACTAGCTAAATATACAGTGCATAACCCATTCCATCCCATAGGAACATTAAATTGTCCTTAGGTTTGCAGTTACTTAAAAACATATGGGGATCTACTTAAGCCAGACTGTCACATTGCCCTAGGCTTTCTGTGTTCTGTCTTTTTGGTTTTGTCTTATGACCCATCAGACATGAAATTTCAACCTGAATGGCTTTATTCCTGATTTCTATCAACTTAGATTGCTGAGAGGAAATTGTCTCAATTGTCCATGGCAGGCTTTATTTTTGGAAGGAAAGATTTATACATGTATGGAGAATTGGACCAGCTAACAGTGAAATCTCACAGTGTTAAATGATCAAGAAAGAATAAAAAGAAATACACAGAATCACTATACTGAAAAGCATTAGTTGACACTGAAAAATTTCAGGCAGTGCCATATGAACAAGAGCCATTAGTATTGAAGGATGAAGTTCAAGTGGCACTGAAGGCACTGACAAAAACTAAACCTCAGGGATTGATGGGCTTTCAATTCACGTGTTTCAGATAAAAGATGCAGCCCTGCATGTGCTTCTCTGTCTACTATGCCAGGAAATTTGGAGGACAGCTCTATGGTCAACGATTGGAAGAGATCCATATTTGTTCCCATTCCCAAAAAAGGTGACAGAAATGCATGTGGACATTACCAAACCATATCATTAATACTATATGCAAGTGAAATATTGCTGAGGATCATTAAAAAATGGCGAGAACAGTACATTGACAGGGAACTGAAGACATTCAAGCAGGATTTAGAAGAGGCCATGACTCCAATGATATCACTGCAGTGTAAGGCGGATCTTGGCAAAAGGCAGAAAATACCAGAATGTCTATTTGTGTTTTACTGACTATGAAAAAACATTTGACTGTGTGGATTATAACAAACTACGGTTAACATTGAGAAGAATGGGAATCCCAGAATACTTAAGTGTGGTCATGAGAACTCTATACCTAGATCAAAAAGCTGTTGTTTATACTGAGCAAGGGAAGACTGCATGGTTTGTTTTGGTGGGTTGTCGATTTTTGTTTTGTTTTGTTATTTACTGCATGGTTTAAAATTAGAAAGGGTGTTCGTTATTCTGAGCAAGTAATTTGTGAACCTGGACTCTATGAAGAATATGGCAGCAAGTTTGGAGGAAGATTCGTCAGTAACCTTCATTATGCAGATGACACAACTTTGCTTGCTGAAAGTCAGGAGGATATGAAATGCTTGCTGTAGAAGATCAAGGACTACAGCCTTCAGATTACATATCAACCTCAAGAAAACAAAGGTCCTCACTATAGAACCAACAGTTAACATCATGATAGATGGAGAGAGAATCGAAGCATATTCATTTAGGGAACAGACTCATGTCTTTTTCTATTTCTTTGTTTCCAATAATCAGTGTCACACAGTGGCTAGCATAGAGTACATATGCACATGTTTTGTAAACTTGAATCTTAAATCTATTCCTTCTAGTCTTGTTGTAAATCCTCAGTGAGTATCCACCCACTTGGTTTTAAATCCCTCTAATCACAGGAAGTTCTGGTGACTTAGAGAAAGACCCTCAACCAGGTGCACTGACACACTGCAGTAACGGGTGTGAGTGGGTAAGAGATTGAGATACTGCCACACAATAGGACAGGGTTCACATCTGTTGTTCATAGAATCACTATGAGTCATACTCAGTGGCACCTAACAACGAAGGCATATATCTGGGCTTAGTTATTAATCTAATATGAATTAACCAATATAAGATTAAAGGATAAGCAAAATAAAAGAGCCAGACATAAGAAATAAGATCAATTTTCTACAGCAGACTTTGAAACAATCAAATCCACACAGGAATAGGGGAAAGGTACTTCTCTGGGGCCATGAGAACAAGACCACCTTTGATTGCCCATAGGAGTCCTTTGCCAATGCAAAAAAAGGTTGGCAGTCTGTTACTGAGAAACAGCCTGGTAAGGGATTCAGAAAACCCTGCACTCAAAGCTTTTAGCTGTATCTCAGACTGCCTTGATTTCTGTGACCCTTTGGAGCTCTTCCATTCAATCATTTGCACATTAAAGGTGTGAGAACAGTAATGATGAAGGAAAAGAAAGTGAGAAGTCTCATCAGAGCCTCACAGTCAACTGCTAGATGTCACATCTAAGGCAATACCCTACTTCTTAAGGATGCTTCCTCCCTGTAGCCTACTGCCTATCCTCTAACCTATCAGCTCCTGGGTAGCTCAACTGACACACAGAGAAGCCAAAAAAGCAAGGATTCTTCCTGTATAGGATGAAGTAGTATAATGAATCCTAGTAAAAGGATAGGATAGGGAACTTTGCCACATCCCAAGATGACCAAGTGTCCATTATATTTTAAATCCAATGTGAAAAGAACAAATGTTCCCCATTTTATTCCCCTCCTAATACTTCCCTCTTAACTAGTTCTTGAAGCTTCAGAAACTAGAATTATTTTGGCTTATAAATTAGATATAACTTGGACTGGATTTACTAAATAAATCTAGAGTACTTTAAAGTGAAAGACAGGAAGAAAAAGACAGAATTATGTCTCTTCGAGGAATATATTTAATTGTCTTGCTGTTCTGGGTTAGCATGAGTCAGACTATCTGTGGCCTGTGCATGGAAAAGAATTTTAAAAACAAAGTAAGATAACAGGGGTAGATATTCTCTGTACACATGTAATTGAATGTTTATGACAATGGGGAAATATGGTACTGGTATCTGTATGAGCTAATTTTCTATTTGTTCATTTTCTCTGTAAAGGAATATGATGCAGAAGTTCTGCTCTTCATTGTCACCTTGGGGCTGGAAATGGCCATTTCAGAGAAGCAGAGCTGACAAAAGTCCCTTAATTACATATTCTAAAAGCTAAAAACAAGAACAAACCAGAAACATAACAGAGCACTGGCTTCAACTATAAATTTAATTAACGTCTCATAATTTACTGCCCAGAAGAATAAAGTCAGTGTGAAGTTCAAGAAAACAAATTACCAAAAAACTCCAGATAAAACTATGAAATGAGAAAATAAATCTGGCCCAGCACCAGCACAGTGACTGAGGTCAAAGAATCAGATACAACTCCTTACACTGGTAACCCTTCATTCATTCATTCATTCCCACCGGATAGACAGCGTGGTCTTTGAGCTCAGGCCTCCAGTCCTAGGACTTGAGCTTATTAGAAGAACCCCCTAGTGCAACCCTGCGAGAAATAAAGACTGCGCCAGCTCCTCTCTTTGTCAGGGAGTAGGAGTAGCCCAGCCTCCTCCCTCCTTGGAGCTAGTAGGAGAGGAGAGAAGAATGATGAAGGGCTCATGGGGTCCAGGAAAGCTGCTTTTCAGCCCCTTCTCTTCTTTCCCTATCCAGGATGCAAAGACGAAAGTAAATACTATTAAAATCAAACTGAGAAGCAATTCTTTTTACCCCCATAGAGGGAAAATGGATTCAACAGAAGTGCCAAGAAGCCTCTCTGCCCACTTCTTCCTCTCCTTGTCACACCCGCTAAGAGTCACCTCTGTCTGGGTCACAGGAACGGCCTATGGGGTCTAGGGGGCAGCTGGTTCAAGCCCAAGGCGGCCAAGTTCGCTATTAATAATGAGAAGGAAAGGCGACCTGTGAGCAAGAGGGGAGGGCAGGGTCTCTTCCTTCTATCGACACAAGAGGTCATGAAGGGGAAGGAGTACGAACTAGGAAAGCCAAGAATGCTGAGGTCACCCGAAGTGGGGAGAGATCTTAGAATGAGAGGGATCCAAGACCGAGCCAGAGCCTGACCAGGGTCCGCAGCGGGTCAGGGCAGTGACTCAGTGAATGTGGCAAAGGGCGGGCTGGTCTGGGGTGCCGGCCGGGGGCCAGGCGCGAGCCTGCGACGCCGCGCGCGGGGGTCCCGAGGCGGCGCGGCCGCAGGGGCTCACCGTGTCCTTGGACGAGCCCAATTTCTTGAGGCCGTCCAGGGGCAGCAGGTCAGCGGAGTCCTTGTGGATGAACTGCACGGCCTGCTTCATCCGGCGCTGCTGCCGCAACGACGCCGCCTCCCGCATGTCGGTCTCCTTGCGGCCGCCCTCAGTGAGGAGCCCTGAGTAAAACATCGCTGAGGTGACGGCGGCCCGGCGGCCCCCAGGCTCCGGGACAGCCCGCGACTCTCAGCTTCGAGCTCCTCCGGCGCTGCGAGCCTCGCGCCGCGGATTTTATAGCCGAGCGTGACGTCATGCAGCAGCCAGTGTGCGCGCGGGAGGCGGGGCCGCGTCCCCGCCAAGCGCCTGGCTCCGCAGCGCCTCCCACCGGCTGCCCACCTATATGTCAGGCTGCTCCGCCCCGGGGATGGGCAAGCTAGAAAAGGGCGGCGTGGGCAAGGCTGACCTGGAGCGCGAGAGGTCCACTGCGCTGTCCTCACTCAGCGACGCCCTCCCGTTGCGGGTACCCTTCATCCTCTGGACGTAGATGGGGTGTGGGACCTGATGCCTGAGCGGCCTCTCCCTGCGCAGACACCGACGCCAGGTACCCACTCACCTGTCCACGCCGTAGCAGATCCCGGGATCACCGACAGCTGAGCCATACCCCCAGTTCTGTCGTCCAGAGCTGTGTGGCGTTCTTTCTCTGCGCAGCTTTGCAGATTCCCGCGGTGTGGCGTCCCCAACTCCGCGCCCCCTCCCGGAGCCCCTGCGCCTGCAGCCAGGACTCAGGAGGACCCGCGGCACATCCTGAACTTGGGAGAGCTCGGGATTTCTCCAACTTCAGGTCTGTCCCCACCCACTGGACCACGTGACTGGGAAGGGGGCAGCCCCTGCAGGTGAGCTGGAGTTGGCCCTCCCCGGGGTTCTCCTCTGGCGTCCTCTGCCAGCGCCGGACACCAGCTCTTTCGAGCCAGGAAAGCAGAGGGTGTGGCAAGGGCCCCTGACTTCCAGGGACTCACATGAGAGAGCATACCCTACCACTGCTTTACAGAAAACACCTGTCTTTCTCAGCTATGCTAGAATTTCTTATCAAGGGAGTCTTTCACTCATCTCTCCAACATCCTTCCAGGAGTGTTTCGAACCCATTACATTTTAGGGATGTGAACAGGTATCTTGAGCTCTAGCCTGGACATTGAATTTGTACAAACCACATTGCCATCCCGAGAATAATCAAGTTACAGCCTTGAGGGGGAAAGTATGGAAGATTCTGACTCGGGATGACTCGATGTGTGCAGAACAATTTCATAGGATTTTCAAGGTTTTGCTTTTTTAGTAAACATATGACTAGACCTGGTTTAGGAGGGGCCTCTGGTGGGTTTGCCTGGTAGTTTGCATTGTTGTTGTTGTTGTTATGTGCCGTCGAGTCGCCTGCGACTCATAGCGACCCTATGTACAACAGCCCTAAACTCCGCTCTGTCCTGTGCCAATCGCATTGTCTCTGACACTCCCATCCCAATTATCCCAGTCACTGAATCAATCCACCTCATAGAGGGCCTTCCTCTCCTGCGCTGTCCCTCCACCCTCCCAAGCATGATGTCCCTCTCCAAGGACCGGTCTCTCCTCACAACATGTCCAAAGTAAGTTAGACGGAGCCTCAGAATCCTTGCCTCCAAGGAGCCACCCGGTTTAACCCTTTCCAGGACAAATCTGTTTGTTTTCCTAGCAGTCCATGGTATTCTCAATACTCTTCTCCAGCACCACAGCTCAAAGGCATCAATTCTCCTTCTATCCTCCTTGGTCATTGTCCAACTCTCCGATGCATAACAGGTGATTGCGAAGACCATGGCCTGTATCAGACGCACCTTAGTCTCCAGAGAGACGCCACTGCTCTTCAGCACTTTGGAGAGGTCCCTAACAGCAGACTTTCCCATGGCAATGCGCCTTTTAATTTCCTGGCTGCTGCTGCCAAGACTGTTGACTATGGAGCCAAGCAAACTAAAGCTGTGTACAATCTCAATCTCTTCACCATCCATCCTGATGCTTCCAATTGGTCCAGTGGTGAGAATCTTTGTCTTCTTGACATTGAGCCTCAATCCATATTGTAGGCTGCAGTCCTTGACACTCTGCAGCAGGCGCTTCAGGTCCTCCTCAGTTTCAGCAAGCAGGGTTGTGTCATCCGCATAACGCAGATTGTTGATAATTCGTCCACCAATCTTGACCCCACATTTCTCCTCATAGAGCCCAGCCTCCCGGATAATCTGTTCTGCATATAGGTTGAAAAGGTATGGAGATAGGATGCATCCCTGGCGTACGCCCTTCCCAATTTTGAACCATGCAGTGTTCCCTTGCTCTGTTCTGACGACTGCCTCCTGGTCCAAGTATAAGTTTCGCATTAGAACGATCAAGTGTTCTGGGATTCCCATTCTTCTCAGAGTCAGCCACAGTTTGTTATGATCTACACAGTCAAATGCCTTTGCATAGTCAATGAAACACAGATAGACATTCCTCTGGTATTCCCTGCTTTCAGCCAAGATCCATCTAACATCAGCTACAATATCTCTAGTACCACGACCCCTTCTGAAACCAGCCTGGACTTCTGGTAGTTCTCTGTTGATGTGCTGTTCCAGTCGTTTTTGGATAATCTTCAGTAAAATCTTGCTTGCATGTGAAATCAGTGAAATTGTTCTGTAGTTTCCACTACAGTTTGCATTACCTACCCACATATCCTTAAAGCATCTCAAAAGATGCTCTAGTGCTTTTAAAAGTAAAGGACTCACCTTGTTGTATGGTCTGTACCTACTGCTTCCCCATTCTTCAATATAAATGCCTCCTTGAGGAGAGGAGCCATGCACCTCATCAAATGTACTGACTTTGCACATCCTTTTCCCTCTGCAAGAAGTGTCCTTCCACATGTACTTGTCAGACTTCACCTCCTTTATAATTTTCCTTAAGAAAGCCTTCTCTGATCTTTTGGAGTAGCTGAGCTTTCTCCAGTTATTTACCATGTACTATTTCTCTCCGAGGTATTTCTCTCCCTCTCTGGCATTTGGTTGATTTGCATTGTGCTCCCCAGTTAGATTGTAAATTTTTTTTTGAGGGGAGTTATTGAATCCCTAGCACATAGAAAGCCCCGTAAATGATTGTGAAAGGTACCATGAGAAGCTACCCAAACCTGAATTGAGCTGGACTTTGACCTAAATGGGCTGGGTTTGACCTCATGAGCCTGCTGCTTTTTCTGCCATCAGCACTTACCCCAGATTTAGAGGACACACAATGCTTGTGGGGAAGATAAATCCAGAGGCAACTCATCTAGTTTTGAGGAAGCCCCTGTTCTAGATTTCTCTTTTCCTCCTGTCTCTTCCCCTATTCTCCCTCTTCAATTCCACACCAGGGACAGACTCTCCTGGTAGGAGATAGAAGAGTGGGGCCAGATTGTAACTCACCTCCAAGTCCCCTGGCATCCTTCCAGGAGTGAACAACAATTGCTATCCTGGCTTCTTCTGTCCTGTCGCTTGGATCTCTGCCTGGCCACTCCTCCAGATACAGGTCGCCCAGGAAACAGTGAAAGACAGCCTTGCCTTGTCTCTCTAGGACAGGCGCCTCTGAGATTG